AGAGGTCAGGGGTTCTGCATCCTCCTAGAGCAGAAAGAAAACTCCTCCTAAAAGCTTTAACCAGTGCTGGCTGGATACTGATAGAAGTCACAAGACTGCTCTAACTGCTGATGAGAAAAAGTATTTAGCAGTTTATATTTACTAAAATAATTGCATTTCCATGTTGTGTGTACTGATATAGGAATGAGGGGTCCGGGGAGACCAGATATAGTGAATGCAGGGTCCTGGGAGAGCAGATATAGCAGGGTCCAGGGAGACCAGATATAGTGAATTCAGGGTCCGGGGAGACCAGATATAGTGAATGCAGGGTCCGGGGAGACCAGATATAGTGAATGCAGGGTCCAGGGAGACCAGATATAGTGACTGCAGGGTCCGGGGAGACCAGATATAGTGTGCAGGGTCCGGGGAGACCAGATATAGTGAACTGCAGGGTCCAGGGAGACCAGATATAGTGATGCATGCAGATATAGTGAATGCAGGGTCCGGGGAGACCAGATATAGTGACTGCAGGGTCCGGGGAGACCAGATATAGTGACTGCAGGGTCCAGGGAGACCAGATATAGTGGATGCAGGGTCCAAGGTTTAGTAACACTTCAAGTCAAAGGGAGGTGTATTTGCATTGAAGTCAATGGGACGTGACTTTGCACTGAAGTCAATGAGAGACAATTTTGCATTGAAGTCAAAGGGAAGCATTTTTGCATTGAAGTCAATGGGATGTGACGTTGCATTGAAGTCACTGGGAGGCAACTTTGCTTTGAAGTCAAAGAGAGGCGTTTTTGCATTGAAGTCAGTGGGAGACAGTGTGCGGACCCAGGCGCCAGGAAGCAATTTCTAGTCTCCATGTGGACTTGGCGCCTGGGATTTGTCGGGCCCTGGGATAATGTATCATGAAAGAAAACGCCATTATTTATAGATCGTGTGAGAAGAATCGCCCACCGCACAGGTCTGAGGCCGCGCGGTCACAGCTCCTCCACACCAGCAGTCTGAGTGCAGACAATTTGCCATATGTCCCACGGCTTTGTTCACAAATGAAAAAAAAGGACATGCTGCATTTTTGCTCAGCACACTTGAGTGTGCTGCAACTCATAAAGATACATCGCAAGCAGTGCCGCGCATTTTCACATTTCTGCGCACAGCAGCATTCGTCCACACCAGAGCACGTGCGTTACGTGCTACACGTTGTGTGTTGTGAATGACCCCCTTTGTCCTCACCTTCTTATCTCCTGCAAGGAAGTGACACCGGGGACCGTGGCCAAGTTCAGGGCCGCTCCCTGCACACAATGGCGGCTGTTTGTACGGCACACGTGCGTCTTATTGATTTTTGTATCGTTTTACAATGGCTAGATAAACAGAGAAAACATATGCTGGACAGATGGCTGGAGAAATGGTCATTGTTATAATTTTCCCACACATCAGAGCTGTGAGCGCAAATCCCCAGCGCTTTCTTCCTTCTTGTTCAGTATCACCTCCCCCCCCCCATACGGGTGTCACGGAAAAGACTGACGCTGTACAGCTCCGGTGATGTCAAGGACAGCTGCACATTATTAGGGAAGGAGGAGGCTCTGGGCTGTCTCATGGAAATGAAAGAACAAAAGAGCAGAATTTACCAGCATGTTGGGAAATCTCTGCAAACCAGCAATACGCTGATATCATGCGTCCTCACTCTTCATTCATCTGAAAGGCATGCAACATGGAGAAAAGTGAATGGATTGTCATGTATTTCATAAATGTATAAATTCCTCCTGTATGGAATTGTATTCTAACTGTACTGTCTGCCCTCATGTCGTAAAGCCAGGGGCGGACTGACAACTCATGGGGCCCCCGGGCAACAGGGGATCATGGGGGCCCCTGCAGGGGCAGACTGACAACTCATGGGGCCCCCGGGCAATAGGGGATCATGGGGCCCCTGTGTCCTTGCCCAAACTCAAAAAAGCCTATGAAAAAGGTACCAGGGGCATCTCATGGGGCCCCCTACTGACCCCGGGCCCTCAGGCATTGCCCGAGTTTCCAAATGGTCAGTCCGCCCCTGCGTAAAACGCTGCGCAAACTGTTGGCACTGTATACTTCCTCAATCATAATAATAATAATCATTGATACTGTGTATCCCTTTATATTTCACATTTTCATATATGTCATTTTGCAGCTTCCCAGTCCTTAGATGCATTGGCTGCCTTTGATTCCCTTTCTCCCTTCAGACTCCATTCGCACTGTGCGACTTGTCATGTGACTTTGAATATCAAAGACGCAGGACAAGTCGCAGCCCATTCTTTTCAATGCCACCCATTCCAATCTGTGCGACTTAAAGCTGCAGGAATTTTGAAAAGGTGACTGCACTACTTTGGTGCAACTTTTGATGCGACTTTGGTCCAGAGACTTTAAAGTCGGATCATAGTAGCACCCAGGGGGTGGACTGACAACTCATGGGGCCCCCGGGCAATAAGGGATCATGGGGCCCCGGACAATAAGGGATCATGGGGCCCCTGTGTCCTTGCCCACACTCAAACCACACTGAAAAAAGCCTATGAAAGGTACCAGGGGCATCTCATGGGACCCCCTACTGTCCCCGGGCCCTCGGGCATAGCCCGAGTTCCCAAATGGTCAGTCCGCCCCTGGTAGCACCAAAGGTTGCTCCAAAGTTGCATTGGAAATTGTGAGACTTTGGAGACGCACTAATGTGAACGGAGCCATAGGCTAGATTTAGATGTGCGTCTATAGCTGGCGCTCCTCTGAAGAGTGATCCGCACTCGAATCGCATTTCATAAGTGACTGAGAGGTGGTGCGATGTGACCTCATTGCCTGTTTTTTAACCCCATTTTTGCTGAACAAATGTGCTTCAGCATGCGGACGTGGCGTTTCCACATTCACATGAATGGGTCGTATTTGCCGGTCTGCCGCATCAGAACCACATCATGTGAACACTCCAGTGCCGGGACAACGTCATCTAGCCAAAGTGCGCCCCCACCCCCCTCCCAAGATGTATGAGTTTTATGTGTCAGCAAAGATCCCCCCCCCCCCCCCCCCTAAAAAAATCAAGCAGTAATCTGCATGCTTACCCTTTACGCCTAAATGCTCCCTCCTCCCAGTACAAATTCACCCCCCTGCTGAATTCCCCCCTCCTAGCATAAATCTTTGCCCCCTAAACCCCCCCGCCCCCAGCTCAAATCCTCTCTCTTCCCACATGCCCTCAGCACAAATCCACCCTCCCTTTCCAAAAAAAAAAGAAAATCCCTCTCCAAACACAAATTCTCTCCCCCCACTCAAAATTCCCCCAACCCCTGACAAATTCCCTTCCCCCAATCCTAGCACAAATCCTCCCCCCCAACTTTCCCCTCCTAGTACATATATCCCCCCCAAAAAAGTTTCCCATCCTAGCACCCTCCCCCGCTACCATATCACCTTTCTAGCACAACCTCCCCAAATACCCCCTCCTAGCACAAATCCTCTTCCGCCATCCCCCCTCCCAACACAAATTCCCCCAAATCAACACTCCTAGCACACTTCTTCAAACTTCCTCTCCTAGAACAATTCCTACCCCCTGCCTCCCACCTAATTCCCCCCTCCCAGCACAAGTTCTCCCCTCCAATCTCCTCGTTGTACCCTCCCCACCTCAGGATATCACAGTGCCCACGGCAGCCATCCCTTCTGCCCACCCCTTGTCCAGGCCCTGGAACACCCCCATCCACTGCCATTGCCATTAAAGCTTGGGGGGGGGGTTCTAAAAAAAAATGCTCAACTATACATTATTACTGCATCCACACGTCTTAAACTTAGTAATCCTGCCAGTAAGACACTTCCTATCCTAGGGTGACAACGCTCACTCACTGTACTATGTCTATGGAGATGTGTTGTCATCCAAAGGCAGGACTACAGAACACTCCCTTCATCTCCATGACTCAACAGAGAATGGTGTTCTGTAGTCCACGGAGAGAACTGGAAACAATGTACGGACCTGTTTACACCATTGCAATAGAAAAAGGCGCATAATGTATTTTTTCATGTGTTTTTGGCCCCCATTCACACTTGAGCATTTTGTTGCACAATTCCTAAAGCATGACAATGTTGAAGATGAAGCATCCCATAATACTTAATGGGATTATTCACACCTCAGCGCTGCATCTCTTGTCACCTGTCACCTGCAGCTCAAAAAAGTACATGAACTTCTTTGGGGCAGAATCAGCATTTTAGCCCCTTAGACTTTCGAGGGAGTGCCAGGAAAACATATAAAATCTGCGTGTTTTTCAGATGCTCCCATTTAAAACTCTATAGGATCAAAATATGTGCTTTTGCTACTGTACTACAAGCCATGCGTAAAAAACGCACAAAAACAGGCATACAATCATGCAATAAAAAAAGCCTCTAAATTGCCTGACTGTGCTCACACTGAGTGCGAATGCGTTAAATGCAATCCAATGCGTTTTAGGTGCATTTCTTCCTGTAGGTACATGGGAAATATAGGCATGTGGTTTTAAAAAACGCACTAATTAAAAAGCATATTGTGCTTTTAGTGCATTTTTTATGCATCACCATTAACTATAATGCAAACAAAACAAAAACGCACAAGAGATGCAACAAGCAGGGTTTGTAAAACAATGCAGCGCACGGCCCTCCAACGTAACACACTGATGTGACAAGCTTCATTTATATGTAATGGTAACTAGTTTTCATGCACTTTTAGTGCACTGTGACCCCACATTGTTGTGTAGATAAAATTATATTCCCCTGATGAAGCCACGTGTCCCTGTGGCGTAACGCGTAGGGGAGGGGTTTGGTGATGTCACAACACTCGCGGTCAGCTGACCTGTCCCAGAGAGAGCTCATGGAGAGGAGTCCAGTGAGATCCATTAGAGCCTGAGGGTGTCAGCTACGGTTTTACGGATTGTTTATTCATATGTGCAATATTTGGTGCAATGGAGCACTCAGGGGTGGGCTGACCGTTTGGAAACTCGGGCACTGCCCAAGGGTTTGGGGTCAGTGGGGGCCCCATGAGATGCCCCTCATACCTTTTTCATAGGCTTTTTTGAGTTTGGGCAAGGACACAGGGGCCCCATGATCCCCTATTGCCCGGGGGCCCCATGAGTTGTCAGTCCGCCCCTGGGAGCACCTGTATTATGTGAGTGGCCATTGTATATCTTAATAAATTTTAATAAATTGTCAGTTTTTTAAACAATAAAGCACCATTGGTTTGCCTCTATTGTCCCCATATGTGTGCTGAGCGGAGGAGAAGGAAGGAGCTGAATCAGCAGTGAAGGAGAGTCTTGATAGAGGTCTTGCCACTAATATATGTCCATTTAATGGGTGCAAGCCATTTTTGACCAAACTTAATTATGTGGTCAAAAATTTCAAGTGAGAGCACAACTGGTGTCGGTATTGGTGGAAGCACAGTGTATATGTCAAAAGGAAGATTTGAATGGCACCTCAGTTTTACGAATTTAATGCGTTCTGCGGGACTTTTCATATTGCGAACAATTCATAAACCGAAATACAGTTTCCCATAGGAATGCATTGAAAACCAATTAGTCCGTTCCGGAGGTCAGAAAAAAGTTTTAAAAAAGTCTTTTATCTGTTCAAAACTCTTTATAAAGTGCACTTTAAAGGCATAAATACTGTACAGGGACATGATTAAAAATGAATTCGTAAATGCATTGAAAACCAATGAATCCGTTCCGGAGGTCAGAAAAAAGTAACAAAAAAGGCTTTTATCTGTTCAAAGTTCTTTATAAAGTGCACTTTAAAGGCAAATACTGTACAGGGATAAGATTAAAAAATTAATTTGTAAATACATTGAAAACCAATTATCCATTCGTATGCATGCGAAAAAAAAAATTCGTAAATGCATTGAAAACCAATTAATCCGTTCCGGAAGTCAGAAAAAAGTAAAAAAAAAAAGTCTTTTATCTGTTCAAAACTCTTTATAAAGTGCACTTTAAAAGCATAAATACTGTACAGGGACATGATTAAAAATGAATTTGTAAATGCATTGAAAACCAATTAATCCATTCCGGAGGTCAGAAAAAAGTAAAAAAAAAAGTCTTATCTGTTCAAAACTCGTTATAAAGTGCACTTTAAAAGCATAAATACTGTAACAGGGACATGATTAAAAATGAATTCGTAAATGTATTGAAAACCAATTAATCCATTCCGGAGGTCAGAAAAAAGTAACAAAAAAGTCTTTTATCTGTTCAAAACTCTTTATAAAGTGCACTTTAAAGCACAGGGCATGATTAAAAAAAAAAAAATCGTAAATGCATTGAAAACCAAATAATCCATCCTGTTAGAAACAAGGGATCAAAGCTCTTTATAAAGTGCACTTTAAAGGCATAAATACTGTACAGGGATACGATTAAAATATTAAATAAATACATTGAAAACCAATTAATCCATTCGTATTGTGAAAAAAAAAATTCGTAAATGCATTGAAAACCAATTAATCCGTTCCGGAAGTCAGAAAAAAGTAAAAAAAAAGTCTTTTATCTGTTCAAAACTCTTTATAAAGTGCACTTTAAAGGCACAAATACTGTACAGGGACATGATTAAAAATGAATTTGTAAATGCATTGAAAACCAATTAATCCATTCCGGAGGTCAGAAAAAAGTAAAAAAAAAGTCTTATCTGTTCAAAACTCGTTATAAAGTGCACTTTAAAAGCATAAATACTGTACAGGGACATGATTAAAAATGAATTCGTAAATGTATTGAAAACCAATTAATCCATTCCGGAGGTCAGAAAAAAGTGAAAAAAAGTCTTATCTGTTCAAAACTCTTTATAAAGTGCACTTTAAAGGCACAGGGACATGATTAAAAAAAAAAAAATCGTAAATGCATTGAAAACCAATTAATCCATTCCAGAGGTTAGAAACAAGTAAAAAAAAGGCTTTTATCTGTTCAAAGCTCTTTATAAAGTGCACTTTAAAGGCATAAATACTGTACAGGGATACGATTAAACATTAATTTATAAATACATTGAAAACCAATTAATCCATTCGTATTGTGAAAAAAAAATTCGTAAATGCATTGAAAACCAATTAATCCGTTCCGGAGGTCAGAAAAAAGTAAAAAAAAAAAGTCTTATCTGTTCAAAACTCGTTATAAAGTGCACTTTAAAAGCATAAATACTGTACAGGGACATGATTAAAAATGAATTCGTAAATGTATTGAAAACCAATTAATCCATTCCGGAGGTCAGAAAAAAGTGAAAAAAAGTCTTATCTGTTCAAAACTCATTATAAAGTGCACTTGAAAGGCACAGGGACATGATTAAAAAAAAAAATCGTAAATGCATTGAAAACCAATTAATCCATTCCAGAGGTCAGAAACAAGTAACAAAAAAGGCTTTTATCTGTTCAAAGCTCTTTATAAAGTGCACTTTAAAGGCACAAATACTGTACAGGGACATGATTAAAAATGAATTTGTAAATGCATTGAAAACCAATTAATCCATTCCGGAGGTCAGAAAAAAGTAAAACAAAGTCTTTTATCTGTTCAAAACTCTTTATAAAGTGCACTTTAAAGTCATTTGTACTGTACATGGTCATGATTAAAAAAAAATCATAAATGCATTGGAAACCAAATAATCTGTTCGTACTGCGAAAAAATTCGTAGGCATTATTTTCTATTTTTATTATTCGTAGGCAAACTGAGGCATTATTTTCTATTATTTTCAACCGAGGCGTTCATAAACCGAGGTACACCTGTATATTGAAAGAATCACGATATGGAGATGGACTTTATTATTTAGTTGTTTTTTGTTTATTATAATTTGTTCACATTGGAATTCTATATATATTATTGGTTATTAGGAGAAGTGTGGCACGATCATTTTTATATTTTCTGTATTTAGCACATTTTTATGAGTATGTGTAGGTCTGAGCAGCTTTTCCATTTATTCAATTTTATTTAATTTACCTTATTTTGGGATTGCTCGCAGGTTTTCACATTTATATTGATGTCAATGGGGCCTTGGTGATAGGCATGCAGCCCAGGCAGAGAGCACAGGAAGTCATCAGCTCACTGGATCTCTGGCAGGATCAACAGGTATTTTGTTGCATATATCAAACAAATATTAAAAACACTTAGTGCCCTGTCACACCGGTGCGATTTCAGGTGCAATTGGCGAATTCAAATCGCACCTGAAATCGCATCTACTGAATGTGAATGTCAGTGTTTTAACATGTGCGATTTGCTGCAGCGCGATTCCTAAAGTATTTCTTCCATTACTTTTTCTGCAGTTTTGTCGCAATTTCACATACATAGAAAACAATGGAAATTGCACTGCATATTGCAAGAAATCATTGAAAATCTTCACAAGTAGAAATAAAGTCTTTAGAATTTGCACCTGAAATCGCACTGATATTGCAGACAAATTGCGCGATTTTAAATTGCAGCAGTGTGCCTGGTGACCTAAGGGGTTATGTACTAAAACTGCATGGTGCAAAATCTAGTGCAGCTGTGCATAGAAACCAATCAGCTTCCAGGTTTTATTGTCAAAGCTTAATTTAACAAGCTGAAGATAGAAGCTGATTGGCTCCCATGCACAGCTGTACCAGATGCTGAGAGCGTCAGTTTTTAGTAAATCTCCCCCTTTGGCTGCATTCTCACTATACAAATGTGTGAATGAATGCAACATTGCGCAATTTGTACACATTTACAGAATGTGCAGCAAACTTGTGTGTTATTCATTGTTAATGGCGCTCTAAACGCAGCATGCAGATGTGCATTTTATGCCCCAAAAAAGACAAATGCAGTAAATCATGTGATTAGAAAAATGTGTGAAGCATTACGTCTGGTGTTGCATGTCCTAGTATGAATGGCGTCTTATAAATGATCAAAATAGGAATTTTCTGTACCTGGAAACATTGTTACAATATTGGTTTAGTAGTCAGGTGTAGATTTTGGAATTTATATAAATAAATTATATATCTCTATATACGGCACAGTGGCTTAGTGGTTAGCACTTCTGCCTTGCAGTAATTGGGTCATGGGTTTGATTCCAAACCATGGCGCCTCCTGCATGGAGTTTGCATGTTCTCCCTGTGTTTGCGTGGGGTTTCCTCCCACACTCCAAAGACATGCTGGTAGGTTAATAGGCTTCTGTCTAAATTGTCCTAGTTTCATCCCTGGCCATGTGGGCTCTCCTGCATGGTAGGGGTTGGGGAAAGACCTGGCAACCTACCCTGTAAAAATAATTGCTAAGAGAATTCATGGAAAAAGTCACTTATGAGTGACAGTCCATGCAATCGCCAAGGGTTGGATACGACTGAATGGATAGATAGATACCATAGATACCATAGATAGATACATGCTATATTGCCAAAAGTATTGGGATGCCCCTCCGAATCATTGGATTCAGGTATTCAAATCACCTCCATGGCCACAGGTGTATAGCACCTAGGCATGCAGACTGCTTCTACAAACATTTGTGAAAGAATGGGTCCCTCTCAGGAGCTCAGTGACTCCAAGCGTGGTACCGTGATAGGTTGTCACCTGTGCAATAAGTCCATCTGTGACATTTCCTGGCTACTAAATATTTCACGGTCAACTGTTAGTGGTATTATAACAAAGTGGAAGAAACTGGGAACAACAGCAACTCAGCCACCAAGTGGTAGGCCACGTAAAATGACAGAGAGGGGTCAGTGCATGGTGAAGCGCACAGTGTGCAGAAGTCACCAACTGTCTGCAGAGTCAATAGCTAAAGACCTCCAAACTTCATGTGGCCTTCAGATTAGCACAACAACAGTGCATAGAGAGCTTCATGGAATGGGTTTCTATGGCCGAGCAGCTGCATCCAAGCCTTACATCACCAAGTGCAATGCAAAGCGTTGGATGCCGTGGTGTAAAGCATGCCGCCACTGGACTCTAGAGCAGTGGAGACGTGTTCTCTGGAGGTACCAATTGTGCTTCTCTGTCTGGCAATCCAATGGACATATCTGGGTTGGGTGGTTGCCAGGAGAATGGTACTTGCCTGACTGCATTGTGCCAAATGTAAAGTTTGGTGGAGGAGGGATTATGGTATGGGGTCATTTTTCAGGGGTTGGCCTTGGCCCCCTAGTTCCAGTGAAGGGAACTCTTAAGGTGTCAGCATACCAAGACATTTTGGACAATTTCATGCTCCCAACTTTGTGGGAAGAGTTTGGGGATGGCCCCTTCCTGTTCCAACATGACTGCACACCAGTGCACAAAGCAAGGTCCATAAAGACATGGATGAACGAGTTTGGGGTGGAGGAACTTGATTGTCCTGCACAGAGTCCTGACCTCAACCCCATAGAACACCTTTGAGATGAATTAGAGCGGAGACTGTGAGCCAGGCCTTCTTGTCTGACATCAGTGCCTGACCTCACAAATGCCCTTCTGGAAGAATGGTCAAATGTTAAAGTTAATGTGCGTGTAAAGGCAGGCGTCCCCATATATAGTGTGTATATACTGTATATATATAATGTTTGTATATTATATTATTATTCATTTAATATATTATAGTTCTTTATATTTAAATGTTACATTTATTGTAATTATCTATGTATGTATTATACAGTATTATATATATGTTCCTGTTTATGGAACATCCTTCTATAAATAAGATCAGCAATTTGCACACTGACTCTCCTCAGTCGGGCAGCCATAGCCCAGTTCCCATTGGCTGAAAGTTGCTGGTATCACATCACGTTCAATGCCCCGGCGCTGGTTCTGAACAGGAAATCCTATGTGGGTGAGATATCATGAGAAACAAAGCTGGAATTAATCTCATCCTACTTTACCGCCGATTTATAATGAGTTGAAGTGTGATTCGTTATGAAGAGATTGGATTCTTAATTACAGAAATATTTCCCATTGAATAGAATCTGTCTGAGACAAAGACCGCGTGGGGGTGGGGATCAACAAAAACCATCACTATTGTGATAATCACAGATATGAGAGACAAAATTGTTATTTATTTTAGGATTTATAGAGTGCTGACATATTCTGCAGTGTTGTACAGAGAACATTGAGACATTCACACTAGTCTCTGCACCAGAGGAGCTTACACTCTAATGTCTCCCCGCAGTCACACACTATTACTATTATGCATTTATATAGCTCTGACATATACTGCAGTGCAGTACAGAGAACACTGAGCCAGTCAAATATTTATCTTCACTAGAGGAGCTTACACTCTAATGTCCCCCCATAGTCACACACTGTTATTATTATACATTTATATAGCTCTGACATATTCCGGAGTGCTGTACAGAGACCACCGTGCCTGTCACATCAGCCTCTGTACCCGAGGACACTCCAATGTCCCACCACAGTCCCACCCTATTAATATTATTATACATCCCTGGTACCCAACCTGCAGCCCTGTGGTACTTTCTGTGTGGCTGTCTTGGCCCCTGAATGCACTAATCTGTGTTTCCCTATTGCCCTGTTATAGTAGTCATAGTAGTCATTTCTAGCAGTCTCATGTAATAAGTCTCCAGTCTATGACTGTCTCCTGAAGCATGTCCCCAGCATGCATTTTCACAGTCTATGAATATCTCCTGTATCATGTCTGCAGTCTCTGACCATCTCCTGTATCATGTCTGCATCCTCTAGCCATCTCCTGTATCATGTCTGCATTCTCTAACCATCTCTTGTATTATGTCTGCATTCTCTAACCATCTCTTGTATTATGTCTGCATCCTCTAGCCATCTCCTGTACCATGTCTGCAGTCTCTGACCACCTCTGGTATCATGTCTGCAATCTCTGACCATCTCTTGTATCATGTCTGCAGTCTCTGACCATCTCTTGTAGCATGCCTGCATTCTCTGACCATCTCTTATATTATGTCTGCATCCTCTAACCATCTCCTGTATCATGTCTGCAGTCTCTAACCATCTCCTGTATCATGTTTGCAGTCTCTGACCACCTCTTGTATCATGTCTGCAATCTCTGACCATCTCTTGTATCATGTCTGCAGTCTCTGACCATCTCTTGTATCATGCCTGCATCCTCTGACCATCTCTTGTATTATGTCTGCATCCTCTAACCATCTCCTGTATCATGTCTGCAGTCTCTGACCATCTCCTGTATCATGTCTGCAGTCTCGGACCATCTCCTGTATCATGTCTGCAGTCTCTGACCACCTCTTGTATCATGTCTGCAGCCTCTGACCTTCTCTTGTATCATGTCTGCAGTCTCTGACCATCTCCTGTATCATGTCTGCAGCCTCTGACCATCTCTTGTATCATGTCTGCAGTCTCTGACCATCTCTTGTATCACGTATGCAGTCTCTGGCCATCTCCTGTATCATGTCTGCAGCCTCTGACCATCTATTGTATCATGTCTGCAGTCTCTGACCATCTCCTGTATCATTTCTGCATCCTTTAACTATCTCCTGTATCATGTCCACAGTCCCCAAAACAAGTATGGTTTTACAGGTGGAGACAACTGAAATTTTTTTCCCTACTCATCTTTTCTGACTGTTTTTTCACTAGTTTAGCATTTGGCTAGGGTCAATGTCATTACTGGTAGTATGAGGAGATACCTGGACCCTACAGAGGTTGTATAGGCAGTCCAACTCCTCCAGGATGGCAAATCAATACGTGACATTGCCAGAAGGTTTGCTGTGTTTCCCAGCACAGTCTCAAGAGCATGGAGGAGATTCCAGGAGACAGGCAGTTACTCTAGGAGAGCTGGACAGGGCCGTACAGCAGGTTCACCCTGAGCACATGTGACAGACGTGAAAGGGTCTGGAGAAGCCGTGGAGAACATTCTGCTGCCTGTAACATCGTTCAGTATGACTGTTTTGGTGGTGGGTCAGTGATGGTCTGGGGAGGCATATCCATGGAGGGATACACAGACCTCTACAGGCCAGACAATGGCACCCTGACTGCCATTAGGTATCGGAATGAAATCCTTGGACCCATTGTCAGACCCTACACTGGTGCAGTGGGTCCTGGGTTCCTCCTGGGGCACGACGATGCCCGGCCTCATGTGGGGAGAGTATGCAGGCAGTTCCTGGAGGATGAAGGAATTGATGCCATTGAATGGCCCCCACACGCGCCTGACCTAAATCCAATAGAACACCTCTGGGATATCATGTTTCGGTCCACCTGGTTGCACCCCAGCCTGTCCAGGAGCTCAGTGATGCCCTGGTCCAGATCTGGGAGAGAAAATCCCCCAGGACACCATCCGTCGTCTCATTAGGAGCATGCCCCGACGTTGTCAGGAACGCATACAAGCACCTGGGGGCCATAAAACTACTGAGGGCCAATCTGAGTTGCTGCAATGAAATGGACTAGTCTGCTGCATCATTTTTTCACTTTGATTTTCGGGGCGTCTTTGAATTCAGTCTTCTGTAGGTCGATCGTTTTCATTTCCATCAAACGATGGGACATCCTTACGTTCCTAACACATGACCCAGTCCATATCAGTATAGAGATCCAGCAGGAGATTCTTCCCCATTGAGATCTGATGTGTTTTCAAAGTGTTCCTTTCATTTTTTTGAGCCGTGTATATTTACTATATAGCTCTGACATATGCTGCAGAGCTGTACAGAGAACACTGAGCCATTCGCATTGATCTCTGCATCAGAGGAGCTTACGCTCTAATGTTCCTCATGCCTGCAGCCCGTGCAGTAGCGTGGTACAATGCAGACATGCCGTTCTAGGTGCGTAGCATCAGATAAAGGACAGAAATGTAATTGAGCGCTGGCTATCTTGTTCTCACTCTGGTTAATCCTCGCCTTAGGGTGACACGGAGCGGCTTGTCCCCCCTCCAGATGGCGGTTTGACTAATTTGTGCCGTCCTGGCTGCTCCCAGAGGTCTCTCCTCTCTTCCAGATTATTAGATCTATAGCTGCAATATGGTGCTTTTATTGGCCGAGTCAGCAGGGTTAAGTAAACAGATGCAGCGTGCCGCGCAGAGCTGAAAATGCACAAAAACGAATCTTCCGATGGTCCGGCGATCTGGTTAGCAATGATTGTGGATGGGAGAAAGGCAACACAAGGCACATTTCTCCGGGGAAGAGCAGCTGTGGTGGTGAAACTCGGCACGTTGGCCTGACCTGGCAGGTGGCTGCGTCCGCCGAAGGTCACCAGAACATTCTGGAAATGTTTTACATTCCGGACTTTACTCCGAGAAACGCCATTGCAGGCGATTATTTTTTAGAGCAGCGGAAAAAGTTTTGACGTCATGCAAACAACAATTCCTGCCGTCCAATTAGAATTCACGGTCCGACGGTTTCTGACAATTGGTGTGGCGGTAGTTTTCATTCTGGGAATACACCAGTAGAAGTTCGTCCAATATTTTTGTTGTAAGGACGTTCATTCATTTTTCTGATCATTAGTGCGGTCAGATCGATGTACAAGTTCAACCGCAGTGATGAGAAAGATCAAAGGAGCAGGATGGAAAAATGTTCTCAAATGTACAAATTTCTTAGCCCGGTCCGCACCAACGCGACTTATCATACGACTTCGCTGTCACGGCGGTCACATGATCGGGAAAGGTCCCAATCGAAAGAGGAGATTGGGACCTTTCCGTGAATACCGGACAGGTATGCTGGAAGCACGCAGGGTGCACGCTCTCGGCATGTGTGTCCTTTTTTAATAGAACACAAATGTGCGGCTACACGGTGTCTAGGCCCAGATGCCGGGAGGCCGCACATTTGCATTCGGCCGGCGTGAAGAGGTTAGGAGCCCAGTCACACTTGTGCAACTAGTCATGCGTCTTTCGAGTCGAACAAGTCGCACCCAATGAGTACCATTCATATCTGTGCAATAGTTCCTGCACTATTTTGTAGGTCCTTCACTACTTTGGTACTACTTTCATGCAACTTGAGGGCCTACAAACGCACGCCTGAATGATATACATGCGACATGTGAGTGACTTTGTAGAGCACAAACAATCATCCTTGGCCAAAGCCAAAGTCTCACCAAAGTCCCACTCATCCAAATTTGCATCAAAATCTTGTCAAAGTCACATCAAGTTGTACTGTAAAGGCGCAATGAAAATCACATGATTTTGAAGTCGCACACGTGTGAATGGAGCCTAATTGAACAAGCTGAAGTTAAAAGTTGATTGGCTGCATCAGATTTTGCGCTCTCCAGTTTTAGTAAATCAACCCCAAAAAGTCGTATGAGAAGTCAAAACAAATTCATTTTAATGGGTGTCGTCTTAGTAAATGCGACTCAAGTTGCAGCTACTTAAAAAGAAGTTCCCAAACGACTTTCCTGCGTCTTTGGTGCAACTTAGACTGTGCCATAGACTGCAATGTTTAAAATCACAAAAGTCGCAAGGAATGTCTGAATCTATGCAATTTTGATGCAGCAGTATTTGACTACAGAGGGTGTTTAAAGACAAAGTTGCATGAAAGTCGCAGTGAAGTTGCATCAATAACACAATCCTCATTCCCTCCCCTCATTCCAGGGTACTAGGTGTAATCCTAGACTCCCATCTGTCCTTTACAATCGCTATCCAAATCTTGTAGACTTCACCTCCGCAACATCTCCAAGATACGCCCGTTCCTAACTTCGGAAACCACTAAGCAACTTATCCACTCCCTTGTTATATCTCGCCTTGACTATTGTAACTGCCTCCTCATTGGCCTACAGAATCGCAGGCTATCCCCTCTTCAGTCCATCATGAATGCTGCTGCCAGACGTATCCACCTTACTAACCGTTCTGTATCTGCCACCCCTCTCTGCCAATCCCTCCACTGGCCTCCACTCAGTGTCCCCCACCCCTCTCTGCCAATCCCTCCACTGGCCTCCACTCAGTGTCCTCCACCCCTCTCTGCCAATCCCTCCACTGGCTTCCACTCAGTGTCCTCCACCCCTCTCTGCCAATCCCTCCACTGGCCTCCACTCAGTGTCCTCCACCCCTCTCTGCCAATCTCTCCACTGGCTTCCCACTCAGGTTCCTCCACCCCTCTCTGCCAATCCCTCCACTGGCTTCCCATTGCCCAATGGATAAAATTCAAAACATTAACAATAACATATAAAGACACTTATAACTCTGCCCCAAATTACATCACCAATCTTGTCTCCAAATATCACCCAAACCGTCCTCTCCGCTCCTCCAACGACCTCCTGCTCTCTAGCTCCCTTGTCTCCTCCTCCCATGCTCGTCTCCAGCACTTCTCCAGAGCCTCCCCCATCCTCTGGAACTCTCTACCCCAGTTTATCAGACTATCGCCTACTCTGCTCACTTTTAGGCGATCTCTGAAAACCTATCTCTTCAGGGAAGCCTAGCCTGGCCTCAGCTAACAATGGAATCTTCTACTCCTCCTACCAGTCCATCCCCCACAGTTACTACCTTTTGTACCACTAGCCCCTCCCTCCTGGATTGTAAGCTCCCAGGATCAGGGCCCTCCTATCCCTCTTGTATTGAACTGTATTGTTGCTGTATTGTCTCCTGTTACATTGTAAAGCGCTGAGCAAACTGTTGGCGCTATATAATTCCTGTATAATAATATAATAATAAAGTTGCGATGTCTAGTCGCACTGACAGTCTGATGACCTTCAAGTGGCAGCAGTGTGGACCGAGCCTAACAGTGAATATGGCTCTCCACTCTGTTAAGTCGATTCATTTCAAAATCGAATGTTAGAAGCAAACTGGATCTTGAAGTACTTCTGAACGACATTTGGATGTACTGAGAATTTGTGTACACATTTTTGTATTCACAATTCTACTAGTGTGTACCCAGCTTTAGAAATGTGTTCATTTATCATCACTTTGGTCAAAAATGGACATCGATTTGACCCCACTAATGGTTGAAGAAAGAAGAACAAAAGTTCTTACGACATTCAAACAAACGTCTGCTAGTGTATGCCCAGTGCATGTTACACGCATGTTGTCAACAACATTTAATTGATTTAAGTGGCTTGGATGAAAAAGTTGCTTAACCCCTCGCCTACCAGACATTTTCACCCCCTTCCTGTCCAGGCCAATTTTCAGCTTTCAGCGCTGTAGCACTTTGAATGACAATTGCGCGGTCATGCAACACTGTACCCATATGACATTTGTATAATTTTTTTCCCCACAAATAGAGCTTTGTTTTGGTGTATTTAACCACCACTGTGGCTTTTGTTTTTTGTACTATAAACAAAAAAAAGAGCAAAAAAAATTAGAAAAAAAAAAGGTTTTCTTTGTTCAATTATAAAATTTTGCAAACAGGTAATTTTTCTCCTTCATTGATGGGCACTGATGAGGTGGCACTGATAGGCAGAACTGATGGGCACTGATAAGCAGCATTGATGGGCACTGATAGGCTGAACTTATGAGGTGGCACTGATAGGCAGCACTGATGGGCACTGTTAGGCTGCACTGATGAGGTGGCACTGATATGCAGCACTGATAGGCAGAATTGATGGGCACTGATGAGGCAGCACTGATAGGCAGCACTGATGGGCACTGTTAGGCAGAACTGATGGGCACTAATGAGGTGGCACTGATAGGAAGCAATTATGGGCATTGATAGGCAGCAATGATGGGCACTGATAGGCAGCAATGATGGGCACTGATAGGCAGCAATGATGGGCACTGATAGACAGCAATGATGGGCACTGATAGGCAGCATTGATGGGCACTGATAGGCTGCACTGATGAGGTGGCACTGATAGGCAGCAGCACTGATGGACACTGATAGGTTGCAGTGATGAGGTGGCACTGATGAGGCGGCACTGGTGAACATTGATGAGGGAGGTACTGACGATGTTGCACTGATATGCAGCAATGATGGGCACTGATAGGCAGCACTGATGGGTAGCACTGACTGGCAGCACTGATTAATGGCACTGATGGGTGCCACTGATGGGTGGCACTGATGGGCAGCACTGATAATCAGGGCCCTGATTATCAGTGCAGATCTGCTCTGTGACATTTGCCGGTTTTCGGCAGTACTTTCTTCATGCTGTGACTGCGGGAACTGTATTTACTTTGTGATCAGCTGTGTCATTGGACGTGTTTAAAGGCCGCTGTGATTGGCCGTTTACCTACTCATGTCCGTAGGACACAACGATCACTGACTGTGTCGGGTGCACGCCACTGGGGGGGCGCGCAGGGGGTGCCTTCTGGGAGGACATCATATGATGCCCTCCCAGAACTGGACAACTGCGATATAGCCGTCATTCAGTCATTCAGCTATAGCATGGTTGGCAAGTGGTTAAGCTAAGATCAGCGACCAACCATGCACCAGGGTTGTCTTGCCATTGTGGGAGGGGCATAGACGCAAACTACTGCAGAAAATCTCCCCATTGTGGGAGGGGCAGAGACGCAAACTACTGCAGAAAATCTCCCCATTGTGGGAGGGGCAGAGACGCAAACTACTGCAGGAAATCTCCCCATTGTGGGAGGGGCAGAGACGCAAACTACTGCAGGAAATCTCCCCATTGTGGGAGGGGCAGAGACGCAAACTACTGCAGGAAATCTTCCCATTGTGGGAGGGGCAGAGACGCAAACTACTGCAGGAAATCTCCCCATTGTGGGAGGGGCAGAGACACAAACTACTGCAGGAAATCTCCCCATTGTGGGAGGGGCAGAGACACAGACTACTGCAGGAAATCTCCCCATTGTGGGAGGGGCAGAGACACAGACTACTGCAGGAAATCTCCCCATTGTGAGAGGGGCAGAGACACAGACTACTGCAGGAAATCTCCCCATTGTGGGAGGGGCAGAGACACAGACTACTGCAGGAAATCTCACCATTGTGGGAGGGGCAGAGACACAAACTACTGCAGGAAATCTCGCCATTGTGGGAGGGGCAGAGACACAAACTACTGCAGGAAATCTCCCCATTGTGGGAGGGGCAGAGACACAAACTACTGCATGAATATTTTGCATTTGGGGCCTCATGTAAACATAAAAGGTCAGATGGTGATGTATCACGGCGGCGCTCATTCATGTAATACACTGTTAAGAAGGTTGTAAAAAAGTTATAATGTTCAGAATTATGTTTTTGTTCTTTTAGTTCCAATGTTTTGCACATTTTCTGCTTTGATGTTTTAAAAGGCAGAGAAGTCAAGACAAAACTATAAAATCATTTCACATTCACACTTTTTTGACCTCCTGACCCTCGAAAACTGATTAAACGTTTTAATCTCATCCTCAAACTATCAAATCTGTAAATTTTTAAAATTTGATGTAGTTATCCTGTAATATAGATTTTGTCAGTTCTAAATTATGAATGAAGTCCTGTCCGGGGCCGGCTGCCCATCATTCAGTGAACCACGGGATAAATTAGGGGGGGGCGGAACAGCTCAGTCAGCAGAAACGCTGAGAAAATTGACTCCATTGATCTTCTGGTGCCCCTGGAGGACAGCTATCTATTCCCTTATTAACTATCCCTGTTTGTTTATATAGCACCTGCATGTTCTGGAGCGCAGTACACAAAGGCCCAATATACGCAGGATTCAGCCTGAAATTGCTTTGTAAAGCTCTCATCTAGCTTTCTCACAGTCTTTAAATGGAAGGTATAAATGTTTTATGTGCTGTATTTTCTTTCTTTATTGAATCATTATTTCATATATTCTTTATAAAATTTTTAAACTAGTTTCTTAGTTCTTTTTAGTTAGGTGAATGTTAGGTGAATGTGAAATATATCATATTAGTTTGGTAAAGTCACTTCTAGGCAGCAGGTGACGTGGTGGAGAAAGTTAACTGTCATATTTCTGCAGTGATTTACTGCTGTGCTGTGAATAGCCTGTGTAATTTGAAATCCTGCTGTTCTGGGTTATTGAACACACAGCTGCATGACTCAGAGAACGGACATTTCCTCTCTCCTTCTGTCCAAAAAGCGAGTAGAAATGTCATGGGAGCACCTTGAATTAAATCCCCCCCCCCCCCTTCCACTTCCCCTTAAGTTGCAAAGGCATCAGCCAGGGGTGTATATACGCTATGATGTACAATACTATGAACTATGTACACTGTACACTACATGCATCCGACCCTTGCACTATGTACATTACATACCCCTGCACTGTGTACACTACACCCCTGGCCCCTGCACTATGCATTTTACACACCTGATCCTGCACTATGTACATTACACCCCTGACCCCTGCACTATGTACATTACACCCCTGACCCCTGCACTATGTACATTACACCCCTGTACTATGTACATTACACCCCTGGCCCCTGCACTATGTACATTACACCCCTGGCCCCTGCACTATGTACATTACACCCCTGACCCCTGCACTATGTACATTACACCCCTGGCCCCTGCACTATGTACATTACACCTGACCCTAACCCCTGCACATTACACACCTGACCCTGCACTATGTACATTACACACCTGACCCCTGCACTATGCATACATTACACACCTGTACCCTGCACTATATACATTACACACCTGACCCCTGCACTATGCATATTACACCCCTGTACTATGTACATTACACCCTGGCCCCTGCACTATGCATATTACACCCCTGACCCCTGCACTATGCATATTACACACCTGACCCCTGCACTATGCATATTACACACCTGACCCCAGCACTATGTACATTACACACCTGAACCTGCACTATGTACATTACACACCTGACCCTGCTCCACATACATTACACACCTGAACCTGCACTATGCATATTACACACCTGACCCTGCTCTACATACATTACACACCTGAACCCCTGCACTATGTACATTACACACCTGAACCTGCACTATGTACATTACACACATCTGAACCCTGCACTATATACATTACACACCTGACCCTGCACTATATACATTACACACCTGACCCTGCACTATGTACATTACACACCTGACCCCTGCAGTGTGC